TTCAGTCGGTTTTAACAGCTCATAATACACTACGCCGAGCTGGTTCTACCAAATACAGAGCATGACCTTGGAGCCGTTAATATTCGGTTTGGCTGTCGACGTGGAAGCATGGCCGGGAACTCCCCATGATTTTCTGCGCTTTGAGTTATCGTAATGAACCATTTTTTGTCCCCAGTCATAATGCGATTCAGAAATCCCTTCCGTTTTTGCCTTTCAAGCAGCTGTTCACAAGCAAACAAATGCCGTTCAACATTTTTCGATTTCAATTCGTACGGCACCCAATTTCCTTGCTTCTGAATCATTCCTATGGCTTTGAGGCGTTTTGAAATGGCTTGTTGAGTCACTCTCAATGATCGTGCCAATTCTTCTTGATTTTGACACGAGTCTTGATCAAGTAATGCCTCCAATTCTGCATTTTCGAAAACCTTCTCTCTTCCACTGCTATGCCTGTCTTCGACGTCAAAATCACCGTTATTGAAGCGTTGAAACCATTCACGACACGTTGTTTCACTAATAGCGGCCTCACCATAAGTATTTGAGAGCATTCGATGAGCCTCAGTCGCAGATTTCTTCATATTGAAACAGAAAATTAAAACCTCCCACAAATGACGAGAATTTGGCTCGTAAACTGATATTTTCAATCGAGTATAACTTTATGATGCAGACACAAATCGATTATGTTTCTATGGTGTTATGTTGACAAATGCCCAAGTTTATTGTATGACGTCTATGATTTATTTATTTCGACCACCACTTATTAAATCCATCTATAGGGAAATGGCGGAAGCAAAGTTGTACACCTAATATTTTGTTTAAGAATATAATATTGTAATGAAACAAAAAAACTACAAAATTAAACAAATACGAATATTAAATCTAAAGAAAATGTTTTTTCCGAAAAAATGGTATAAGAAATACGAGAAATATGTAATAACACAAATTGTAGTATTAATGACTACCATTAATAAATACTATTCTAAATACTATTCTATAAGCACTATTGATGTGAAACATTACTGTATTTGAAATATAAATAACAAAAATAATTATTAAATAAGTAACAAGTATTATGTTATATTTGTAACATTTTTTAAATATTGCTGCAATATTGTTAAGAAAAATTGCAAATTAATGTCTCTGCAACATTGCCATATGCAATCTTGCAACGTTGTAACAATGTTGCTGCAAGCTTCTGTACTGTATGGGTTATTATAAGAGATTTTTGAAATATTTTAGTGAAAAATATTTTGATGAAACGTTTCACAAATATTTCTAAATTACTTCAATGTTATATTTCAATATAATTTCCAAGTTGTTTTTCGGATAGCTTGCTGTGTGGGATCCTATGTGGACACGCCTTATTTGGAAGACCGCATTTTTGAGAACCAAAATCATAGGTATTTTGGTTTTACTTTAAACTTATGTGAATTTTATTTCAGTATAAAACTGTAAACTAAAATTTTGTAAAATTTTAAATTATTTTAAGAATTGAATAAACGAGGCTCTGACCGGATTATATAAGTACATGTTACAGACATTCACATCTGTGTCTATTTTGAGACTATTTACGAATTTTACTTTAGAAATCCCCTTGCTTGGCCATATGCAGGCCTAACGATGACAGGCCTTATTAAGGGCATCCCAACAGCGCCTATTCAGGGTCTGTTTAAGAAATTCTACTTAGAATTTGCCTTTGTAAATCCTTTCTAGGCACAACAGTGATAGGCCTTGTTAGGAGAACTCCAATAGTGCCTATTTAGTGTCTGTTAAGGAAATTCTACTCAGAATTTGCCTTTGTACACCTTTCTAGGCCCAACGATACTAAGCCTATTTTAGAGCATGCCTATCTAGGCTCTTTGTAGACCTGGGGCATGCCCTGATAAAACTGTATCCGGGGAGGGGCCTACCTACTAAAACTTCTGCCAGGGAGTTCCGCCTTGGCGGCGGCCATGGTTGAAGACCTCCTGGGATAGCTTCCGCATAGCTTCCGGGACGCCCTCGGCTGTGGGGGACGTTTCCGTCCCCCTTCCTTAGACCGGAAAGGATGATTGTTCCTCCCCGGTCTTCTGCCTTATATGCATTGGCGAGACTGGGGGCTTCCCACCTGTCTCGCCGCACCTCTTGTAATGTGGGGCACGGACCGGGTTTCTGCCCGGGCTGCATCCTCTCATTTGCGGTCTCGTCCGAGTGTTAGGGGAGGAACCTAATCATAGTCCCTCCCCCCTCATCGTCAGGATCACTCAGCCTCGTACAAGGGGGTCAAAGACTCCTCTATTATAGAGGATCAATCTCCCTACAGGCGCCTTGTCATACATCTCGTGCCGTCTTCTGCTGGCAATCTCCCCTGTCCAGCGCCGGTGATTAATTCTCCTTCTGTTCCGCCGACTCGGTGTGTCGACGGGTCGATTCCGATGGAGAAGATTAGGCGCACCTGTAGGATCTCCTGGGAAGAGGGACCAGAAGATGGTCCTTTCTCCTCCGGATGCGCCTCCCTTCAATCCCCTGCTGGTGTGCGAGGGGAGGAAGGGCCCTGCGTCTTCTTGGTCTGGGCCCTTTTCCATCATCTTCTTTTAGCTCGCCTTTTCGGCGTCGTTCCTCTATCTCCTTCTGCGACATCATCTCGTCGCAAAAGAAGGTGACAGCGGACCAGCCCTCAGTGCTTCCTAACATGGCCCTGATGAGAGCCCGGGGGCTGAGGTTCGCTCCCACTACATCTACGAGAACCGAGCGCTGCTGCTCCTATGAGGGATATTCCCCGAGGATATTCTGCGCCGAGTCTACACAGTCGCGGCATCACAGTGGTGGCAGCGTGTGGTGTGCTCCTTCCCAATCCTGTCAGGTACTTACCGAAACCATGTCCGGTGAGTACCTGTGTTTTCCGGAATAACAACTCCCCGTGGGCCCTGTCTACCAATCCGATTTTGAACATGAAACGGATATCCTTATCAGGATATCTTATGGACTTTTGATATACGAGGGTGGTCTGAAAAGTTTCCGACCTCAACGTGAAGATAGCAGCACTTGTAAATAAAAGCTAGTGAATTTCGTTGTTCATCTGTTGACAGTTACTCACCGAAGTTTCAGCCATTTTGGACTCGCAGTTGTTATGTAACAGTCGTTTGAGTAAGTTGATGTGAGTGTTTTTGTGAAAATGGACAAAATCGAGTATCGAGCTGTCATTAAATATTTGTTTTTGAAAGGCAATACGCCTACGCAAATCAAAGATGAGTTGGATTCTGTGTATGGGGACTCTGCACCATCATTTACGACAGTGAAATTTTGGGCCGCTGAATT